GGCGCCCCGGCAGGAACCATTCATCCAGACGGCTGCGAGAGGGCTCCTCTGGAGGGGACCACTCTAAACCCAGCTCTTTGACCGCCTTGGAGAGGATACGGAGAAGCTCGGTATCCGTCCCGTCTTTGGTGGCGCTGGGCGCGGGTGATGGCGAGGGGGTGGCGTCATTTTCCGAGCCCAACAGCTCCTCTGCATTTGATGCTGCCAGTGACATGCTGTCATCGAGCAGCTCGTCTCCACTTCCCTGAATGAGATCAGGTCGCTCGCATCAGCAGAGGGACGCTGATCAGACCGGGAGAAAAGGACGGGTGAACACTCTCTCTGCGGCGAGAGCGAGGCACGCGGGATCTGGGCCGGCGTAAGCTCGCTCGTGGCCGATTGCTCGACCCCTCTGCCCCGCTGTTTTTTCCTCACAGGTCCCTGGGAGGAAGAAAACGGGAGGGACCGGGGGGCGGAGTCGCTCTCTGAAAAGAAAGTGATATGTGAGCGGAGAGAGGCGAGACTAAAACTCTCGCAATGAGAGCAAATAGCTCCCGTGAGCGCAGCTTCCGCATGGGGTTTCCCCAAGCAGGAAACGCACTCCTTGTGGCCGTCATCGGCATGCAGGGGAGACCCGCACGAGCCGCAATAACGGCGCGGCATTTGCAACAACGCCGCTGCTCTTTTAGAAGCTCTTTGAAGTCGCCGGATGGCGGCAGGGGAACCGGACCGGAACTGCTGCATCGCTGGAGAAGCGGAGAAGCAGGTCAGCCGAGCTGAGAGGTCCCGATTCCAGCTGCGAAAGCGTGTCAACGGCGAGCGGCTTCGGATCAGCTTGAGACGTAGAGTCGTCGCTGAAGGAGAAGAAATCTGAGAATCCTGTGGCGAGCGCCCGCTTATATAGCCAGATGCTTGGTGTTGATTTATATAATAAAAAGCCTATAATAAATCAGTACACTTTTTTTTTTAATCAGTACACTAGATGAGGTCAGTACACCATGTATGTGTCCACATTCTATTGATTTGTGCTTACTGGAGAAAGTGC